TAGAATATAAAATGCATCTAACGAAGATTGCAATAATTACATAAACTAGCAATAACTTCGTCATTTTTGAAGTGTATAAGAAATTTCAAATTGTCTATCTAATATGATTTTATTTACCAAGTTATGCAATTGAAAAGGTTAACGATATGATATGAGTTATGGTTAACCGGTTGACAAAGAGCATATTTCTTAACATCGTGCGAGAAAAGGTTAGGGAACTGCAGACTGAGGTGTATGTGCATGGAATTGTCAAAGTACATTAGGTACCCTTGTTAATGGTGTCAGACTGATTATAAAACTGATGTGTAGAGTCGGATGCGATGCTTTTCTTCAATTGTTTCTTGGGAAAATACGGGATATAGACATTATTTGGGGTTGAATTCCAAAATATATACATAAAAAATTGAATTTCCGGGTATAGACATGGATTCCGCGAAGGTAGTTCAGTAGAATCCACTATAGCTCCACGAAATGGCAAAATCGTAAATAAATTCGAAAAAAAAAAACCTCAAGATCCGTTCCGCAGAGCTATCTCCGAGGAATTGATCTCCAGGAAAAAAAAATCACCTCCAATGATTATTTTATGTAAAGATCTCCAATTAAAATACCATTTTTTCCACCTCACATTCATTCCAAAGATTGTCAAGAAAATTTATACTATCAGAATCTTTTTTTGAAAATAATTAGTTGGGAAATTAATATAAACTCTAAAGAATCGATTTGAAAAAAAATATATTATTTTGAAGATCCATTCATCGGAACTACCTCCGCGGAATGAATTCATTCCTTGGAGGTAGCTCTGCGGAATGGATCTTGAGTTTTTTTTTTTAATTCACTCATTTATTTACAGTTTTGCCATTCCGTGGAGCTACCTCCGTGGAATCCGTGTCTATACCTGAAAATTCAATTTGTTGTGTCTATATTTTGGAATTCAACCCCAAAAAATGTCTGTAACCGGTATTTTCTCTTATGAAGTTTTCGCCAATTTCTTCCGTATATTATTTCATGCACACGTAATTCGGAACTCCATCAAAGTAGGACCACACTTGAGTTATAAATTGGTGTTTTATATGAATTAAAATGCATTTTGCATAAATCAAAATATTTAGATCAAACTGTTTCGATTAACATATGGTTAAAAGAAAGACAATGTTGCTTTGTTCACTTTTCAATTGGTAAGATGTATAATGATGAGATGATTCATGAACACTTGTCACACCTTTTATGGAAAAACCATGACAACATATGTGACCGGAAAACCACATGTTGGATTTAAGAAATATGAGATGGCCATTACATTGGCGACGCTTAATAATCCCTTAATATGACTTTTAATATGTTCATCTTATTTTTAGTTATCTTTTTGAAATTTAACTCTTTGATAAATAAAATATTTTACAGATATGGACATATTATAATTTTATAAATAAACAAGTCAAATTATTTCTTCTAAATATAATAGTTCCCAGATAAGCAGGTGTTGCATCAATTAATTGTACTAAGAGGCATTATATAGTAAAAGAGGCTGACTAAAAAAACACCATATTTTACGATTTAAACAACACTAATTAATGTTTGAAATATTTTTATTGGTTGAAATTGCATTGTTTTCCGAAAAAGATGATTACAAGAAGTTGATTATAGGTTGACTTGTTATAAATAACATGTACGATAATTTCATTATTGATCCATAATTCGATATACATAGTAAATTTTATAATATATTTATTTTATCATTTTAGGTAATTTTGATTTTTAAATATATTTTGCATATCAGTATAAAAATAATAAACTTTTTACAAAACTTAAATTAAATGACCAATAAAAATATGAAAACCCCACTTGTCTCCGACATGGTTTAATATAACAAATATTTTTAGTGTATTAATAGTCTCCAATAATGATTCTGATCTTATAATTAAAACATAATAAATAAGCATCCGATTCGTATCGAATCATATCTGCAACACCATTAAGACATTTAATAAACCATCGTTATTCAATTTTTGATATTTAAATTACATTCTTCACTAAACCATTCAAATTTGTTTTCTTAACCTAAAACACGAATTAAACCATAACAATTTGGTATTGAAAGCCATAAAAACCATTCAAAAATGATATTCTTTCGGATTTCAGATTTAAACGAACTATTTTCTGCTCTTTACATTTTTTTCCCTTTTTTTGGTAAATATATGTGTATTGTTTTTTCTTCAAAAAATGTTCTTTATCAAATAGGTGCATATAAAGTCCTCCATTTGAAATGGTTGTGCAATTGGTGTGGAATAGATCAACAAAGATTCTCAAGCGTGCCGGAATTGATGATAATGTAATTACTTTGGATTCTTTGGTGTATTTGAAAGGTGAAACACAAGAAGGTGTTCAATATGGTTACATCTAGCCCTATTAAAATTGCTGATAATGTAATTACTTTGGTTTCATAGTGGATAAAATACTGTGTCAAATTTTAAAATTATAACCGGTTTAGTTGGTGTTCTCCTTTTAATATCATCATGTAACTTTCTTTGTCTTTGTTGCAGCCTAGCATCTTGTTGTTTGGCTATGTTTTTAATAATTTTTTTCTAGTTAAAAAAAAAAAAAGACTTGTTAAATATCTAAAATAACCGTTTTATCTTCTTTTAAAAAAATAAGAGTGAATATTATCCGGTTTGGATTTTTATTAAAACCGAATCCAAACCAGAAACTTTGGTTTTTGACTTTGATAAAACCAAACCATTTTTTTCCGGTTTCATTAATCAAGTTTAACAGAAAAACAAGTAATTTACTAAAAAAACATAATACAACACATGCTTAAAAATAAAAGTTGTATAAACAACCTGTATCTCACCATATGTGGGCGGGGCCTGTTATTCGAGTGTGGGTGGGAGCCCGTATCTTCTATTTGCATGATATGTGTGGTATGAGATATCTTGAGAGAAATTCACTAAGTTTCGTACTTATAATTTTCATTTTTGATTTCAGGTACTTCTGGTAGCAAATAGAAGAACTCGGGATAAATGCATTGCACACACCATTATGTTTCACCTGAGATGATTTTTACTCTGATTTTATTGTTATGGATACAATGACTCATATTTATGATTGGATGTATTGACAAATGTTGTTTATTTTATATTTAAAAACGAAATTTTTAAAACCATAATTTAGTAGTGTTACAAGTTTATTATTTAGAAAACATAACAAACTATCATCTGAGTGGTCCACGTTAACCGGATTCACATGAAAGTTCAATTATCCATATTTTACGTGTACCATGATTTGGACTCATGAAAGTTCAATTATCCATATTTTACGCCTACCATGATTTAGACTCATGCTCCCATATTTAGAATTTCACGTATCAATAAACACTCTTAGACCATGGCGTATGGTCACAATATATTTACTAGAAAAATGATGTCACATATGCGTCACATCACCTCTCACTACATGTTCACCTCATGTTCACTAGCATTAGAAATGATTATCACTATACAATGTTATATATATATATATATATATATATATATATATATATATATATATATATATATATATAGAGAGAGAGAGAGAGAGAGAGAGAGATATTAAAACTTAAAAAAAAACCTAAATTAATAATATTTCACATTACATAAAAAAACATAAAACATAAAATTTCAAATTTAGATTCCGAATAAAAAAATAATAATACTAAAACCTAAATAACTAAAAATAATAGAAATTAAACATAAATATTAAAAACGTTAAAACCTAAGTTCCATATTTTTCCCGAACTTGTTGGATTTTCAGAAATGCGACTAAATTTTCCGGGTTAATATCCGGTTACGACTTCGTGTTTAAAATTTGAAGATCGGTGAGTCCTTGTTTCCGACATCAAGCTTCCTCTATTGACTCATATATATATATATATATATATATATATATATATATATATATATATATATATATATATATATATATATATATATATATATATATATATAGTGTAAAAAACTTAGAGTTTTGTCAATTCTGTCCGCAAGCACGTCTTCATTAATCGCTTTTCTGCTTGAAGACGCTGCTTTTTTCCCTTTATCCCTTCCCGGTGGTCGACGAAGTTGGACTTCCAGTGGACCCTCCCCTTCGGTCCCATCAAAGTCGTCATTCAGGTCGACACCAAAACCCACATCTGACTAGGAAGTTCTTGGCCTTTTGTCGGAGCCGGTGATCGATTTCGAATGCGAAGTCTCCGGGTTAAGGACCCATTTTGGACCCTTACGATAAATTTCTCATGCTTTTTGGTGGCCGAACGCTTTACTGCCGGTGGTAACTTTGAATTGTTGGCAAACGGTTGATAAAATATTGAAATCATTGTTACCACCTTTATGCATATTTTTTAGATTTTCAAATATGTCGTTAAACTTGATGGACGCCGCTCGTAGTTCACGTCATTTTTCATTGATCGCGTCGTACGTTCGGCCCGTTTGCCTTCCCAAGAGCGTAGTACACGAAGCCAAAAACTGTTTTCCTTTTGAGCGTTGCCCGTCCTCGAGTCGCACGATATATAAATCCAAGTTTTAGCTAAAGTTTTCTCCTCTTCGGTCAAAGTTGTTCCTCTTTTATTTGTAGCTTTTTCCTTTTGATTTTCTTCACCTAGATGGTTGTGTTTCTTCGACCTGATCGTCGTCGTCATTGTCCAAGTTTATAGGTGGGGATTGAGAAATTGGGATTTAAGATGATTGTGTTTGAAATTGTTGAGATGATTGTGTTTGGAATTGTTGAGATGATTGTGTTTGGAATTGTTGGGGTTAAAATTGTTGAAAACCTTGGAATTGGGATTGTGGTATTTGTTGTTGGAAGTAGTTTGGTTGAAATGGAATGTTGGTAAATAGAGGTTAATGTTGGATTGAGGATA